TAATACAAACTTTTTTTTCATACTGGTGCATGTATAATTACTACAATAACATCTTAAAGCATTAATAAATGCAGAGAGAATATATGTCAATGAGTACTTCTACCCTTTATCATTCTGGTAAATTCCATTATTATATTTAAGCCAGGATACTCTAAATCCTTGTAGCATGTAAATGAATACCACATCGTAAATTATTATTTATGACTTATGATTCGTAGGTTATAGAATTGGCTTACGTAATTCGTACAGTAGATTTATATTTACTAGAATCTGTGAGTTCTTTCGGACAAAGTTAAACCTTTGACAACGTGACAGTCTTCGCACACTGGCCGCCTGGGCAGCAGAAACCTTTTGATGCAAGAGTTAGTTGGACCGCCCGGCACTTCGTCTGCAGACTTCCGTGCTTACTGCATTTACTTTGTCGACATGTGGGCTTTTCAGAGTTCAAAAAATAAATAATATGCGGCTTATTACTATATAGTTTTATGTGTTAAATGCTTAATATGTTACATTACACTACGGCTCGCTACATATGCACAACCTGCAAGTCGACATGAAAGATGACAAAATGTGTAAGATGAACAATGAAAAGATTAGATACTGCTTGCGTTAAATATATCATATAACAGTACACAAAAATAGTTACTTTTATTGTCATATTTGGCCATTAAATTGTAAAAATATTTTTTATAACATAAAATCATATTTTATCCGTGATAATTAGATTTCTGCCTGGCGACGAAATGCGACCTTTGCACATTTCGTCAGTTTGCTCGTATTTACGAAACTCTGCGTTCGTGCAATCGCTACACCTTCAAATCCAGGCCCTCTGAGATAAGATTTGTCACCACTCCGGTAGCCGAGCTCCTTCCAGCTCCACAATGCTTTCTCGGAGTGTGTTAGTGACAGGGAGCAACAGGGGGTTGGGACTGGAGCTTGTTAAACAAATTTCAGCAAGTTCAACGCCCCCAGAAATTATCATAGCTGCTTGCAGGGACCGGGAAAAGGCTACTGTGAGACATCTTATAAGCAGATTACTATTTTTTGCATGATTTTTTAGATGATTATGTATTGCAGTGAAGATGTTTTTGTTCTTGAAATATACATTGAAGTATGACACTGTGATGTCTTAAAAATATCTTGCATGATTGTTGTTAAATTATTGAATTAAACTTCAGTGAATATATACAAACAGCGCAGCACCTAAATGGAGTCCTAACCCCAATCACAGGAAAAAAAAAAAAAAATAGATAGGATAATAGTAATAAAGATTTATTATGATTACTATTACAATTATATTATATTATTATTATATATCATTATTATATTATTGTATGGTATCATTATATTATTATATAATATATTATTATTATTATATATTAATATAATATTATATTATTTAATATTATATTGTTATTATTATTATTTTGTTATTATTATATTATCATTATTATATTATTATTATTATTATTACATCATCATCATCATCATCAATATCGTCGTCGTCGTCATCATCGTCGTCATCATCGTCGTCATCGTCATCCTCCTCCTCATCCTCCTCCTCATCCTTCTCATCCTCTCATCCTCATCCTCAAATTATCCTCATCATCCTCATCAATCATTCATCAATCATCATCAATCATCATCATCATCATCATCATCAATCATCATCAATCATCATCATCATCATCATCATCATCATCAATCATCATCATCCATCATCATCATCATCATCATCATCATCAATCATCATCATCATCATCATCATCATCATCATCATCATCATCATCAATCATCATCATCATCATCATCATCATCATCATCATCATCATCATCATCATCTTATAATATTGTCATTATTATATCATTATTATTATTTTTTTTATTATTATTATTATGATTATTATTTTATTATCATTAAATGTTATTGATTATTAAAAATTAAAGCCCACCAAACCTAACTAACTGAGAAAGTTCAATTTTGACATTATTGAATGTTCACAATATGCATGTACATTACATATCATATAATTTTCCATTTACATCACATATCATATAATTTCATAAGAAAAACCTGGAAACAGAACATCACAGCTAAATATTTCAAATATAAAATAGATTAATTTTAGCTCATTGTGGCAAATGGTCCCGGATCATTCCAGAATGTCAATAATGACCTTTTCAAAGTTGTATAAGGTTAACCAAAAGTTGCTGGGAGGCAAGAATACATTTCATATATACTGAATCCTTTTTTTATTGATTCAAGTGCTTATTCATGAAGGACATAATTATTAGTCCTATCTATCTCACCTGTTTATTATCTTGCTTGATCTTTTTAAAGATTCTTTTTCAGTTCTTTATTGCAGTTAGTATTATTAATAAAATTGTGATAATCACAATATCAACAATAAGAATAAACAACATTGATATTAATAGCACTAGAACGACTTTCTCTGAAAACTGAATAGAAAATCAGCTGAGGACGTCTAGGCCTTCCAATTGGCTTCTTGGTGGCTGAGCCAAGTTGTACAGTCACACACACCTGCACCTGCACACTAACAGTCTTTTAACATCATTTTTACTATTGTAGAGTCTTCAAGCAGTTGCAGCAAAACACCAAAATATGCATATTGTGGAAATTGGTAAGATTTTAGTTGTTACTTTGGTTTTATTGTCAGGGCCACCCATAAGGGGGTTGCACAAGTCTAGTATTCTTTGTTCCAAAACATCTTTTATTCAGCAAATAAGGAGAGATTTGCCCAATTACAGACCTGCACTAGCCCCATGAAAATTCCTAGGTCTACAACCCTACACTATATATAAAACTAAACTATATATAAAACCTGAGAGGCTTCCTCCCCTCAAATACACTCTTCTGTTTGGCAACTTTGAGACTAGCACCCCTTTAAAAATCATTAGATATACCATTATTTATTTTCGATGAAGTATTACCATTGTACATGTATTTATGTTCTATAGATTTTATTTGTCACTGTTGTGTAATGAAAAATATATATTATCTTATGAAATGTATAGTTGAAATCAGGATAAATGTGATAGGCCTCTTTCCATTTCCCTCTTCCCTCTTCTCTCTTCTTTCTCTCTTCTCTCTCTCTCTAAGAAATCATTAATTAAATTATTAAATGTTTTGCTTTGGCCTACAGATGTCAGTGATGAAGCTTCATACAAAACATTTTTTGAAGATGTGGAAAAAATTGTGAGCCCCAAAGGTCTTAGTCTCCTAATCAACAATGCAGGGGTTGCTCCAAAATCAACACGTATTAATATGGTTAAATGGAAGCAGATGATGGATACTTTTAGTGTCAATACAGTTGCTCCACTTATGTTAACAAAGGTGAGTTTAGTTGATTTACGGTAAATGCAAACTTTAGGATTTTATCCACTTTAATAAGATTAAAGATTCTAGATATAATAGATGATAAAAGCTTGCTTACTTTTACAGACCCTCAGAGCTCTGTTGACTATGGCAGCATCACAGACACAAGGAAATGACCTCTCTGTAAGACGAGCTGCTGTTATCAATATGTCCTCTATTCTAGGCTCCATTGCAGACAATGATCAAGGTGGTTTATACCCCTACAGGGCAAGCAAGGTTTGTTTTTACTTTTACTTTTACTTTTTGCTTTGCTTTTGCTACGTCATGAACAATATGGGTGAATTGCTGATGATTACAAATACCATAGTGAAACTTTAATGAGACCTAACTATACACAATTAATCCTTGTCTTGAAATAGTTAATTTATAGAATAAAATATTTTTTGCATAAACTGTCATTTCAGAACATAAATTTGTATGTGATCTTTCTTTCAGGCAGCATTAAATGCTGTCACCAAATCTTTGAGTGTTGACCTACGAGGTTCCAACATTTTGGTTACAAGCATACATCCTGGTTGGGTAAAGACTGACATGGGAGGCAAGAATGCACCTCTGACTGTAGAAGAAAGTATATCAGGAATAATCAGTACTCTTCACAGCTTGAATGAGGAACATAATGGAGAGTTTGTACAGTATGATGGCAAAAAACTTCCATGGTAAATAAGGTTAAGTTACAAACCAAAATAAATGTGCAAGACATCAAAGGTTTTATAGCACTATAGAAAGGTGTAATAGTGAAAAGAGTAATGAGGGGGATTGTTGATAATTAAATGCTACACATCACAAATCGTATTGCAGTTCAGGAAGGTATGGATTAATAAAGGTGATTTGATCAAAGTTGTCAAAGAAAGAAGTGTTGGATTTTGCAAGGGTGTCCATAGGGTAAGTTAGGGATTAGCAAAGGATAAGGGAGGCTTAAGGCTGATTAGATCAGTTTCAGGAAAAATGCCAGGACAGAGAGAATCCAGGGAAAGGGTCAGATTCTGGGGGAAGTGGAAGGGATAATGGGGGAGGAAGAGATGATCATGACAGGCACTAAGTCAGTCATTCATCCTTTCGACATAGCTGTCACACCTTAGGAAGTGGATGGTAGAAGGGGTTGGAGAAAAGGAAACAAAGGGGAAGAGGAAAAGACCATGTAAATTTAGTCAAGTCGAAGGCTGAGGCCCAAGGCAGGGGTGATCCTCAGTATTAGGTCTCTTTCTCTTAAGACCCCCCCTCCACATGGCAACAACAGGCATGGGATGGAGTGGGGCACAATAGAATAGGTTGGGAACTACTGAATCAGAACTACACAATAAAGTATCTATATGTTGGGTCTGAGGGGGGTATCTACCCATAAGTTTGATGGATTTATCACATTGATATGTTTATCCATATTTATAATATCTCAGTAGATTAGTGTACTTCAATTTATTCTTGACTATTACTTGGTAACATTCTTTGGCCCTGAATGGGGAAAAAAAATCAGGGAGCTGTGCCTTCTGTGAATAAAGAGTGACCTTGGGTAATATTTATCCTTAAAATTAAGTAGAACAAGTCAGTCACAGGTCATGAGGGTACTGTGCAATGCTGTTGTGAATGTACAGGGTTCTTGCAGGTAAAAGTTAAAGAAATTTTAAAAAAATTTAAGACTCGTACTTTATAAGACCTGGAGCTACTTGTCGCTGAATACACACTTCATGATAATGTGTAGGCCTACTTGTCATGTCAGTGACCAAGATAAAAATTCTTGTGACGATTATGTAGCCTCTAGGATAGATTGCACACCAGATGCATTTATTTATTTTTTGCAAATGGAGCTTAAGTAAATAGTCACATCAATCAGCAAAGGTCAAGGTCAAATGTTGTGGACAAATTATTTCCAATCAAGCACTGTAGCGCTTTACTAGTGAGTGAATCACGACGGCTTCCACCAGTAAAAGATACATGTACATTTTTTCGTGAACAAACGAGCCTTTGGCAAAATCAAGACATTTTATGATCTGCGACAGTAAAAGTTCTATTTTTTTAAGACATTTTAAGACTTTCTAAGGATGCATGGGAACCCGTGATGTAGAGGAACTATTATATCGGTGGTTGAGGCACAATTCGAAATGGGTGAGAACATAACCATAAGATTTGTACATAAAGGTATTCTGTATTACAAGGTAATTATAAATACATTTTTTGTGCTTAAATTTGTTTTATTTTGTAAATGAAATACACATCCATAAATCTGAAGTGAGAGAATAATACATTTAGGTTCAGAGCTTCTCAAATATCCCTAACCCCAATCTTGAAGGTCACATTCTAAAAGGCTGTCTGGTGTTGGAGGAATTAGGGATGGTGGAAGGGATGCCACACTTTGCATTCTTGATGAATTTTTAAACACCACTTCCCATTCAGTTTCATCATGGATGCTGAACTTGGGATCAGAATCCCCACCCTCCAACTTCTTAGTTATCCATTTCTTAAGTGATGGTTCACTGCTGTCTCCCCTCTCTGACTGAAGCTGGCTGCATTGTTTTGCCTCATTTTCCTGATACACTAAAGATGAAATGGATTACTTGTAAAAAAAAAAAATAATAATAATAAGACATTTTATGTATGTTAACTAATATTAGAAGAGTGAAAATACTTATGTATTTTATATAAGCAACTAAACTATGCTGAAAAACTATCTATTACACTCAGATGAAAACAACATGCAAATTTGTGCAATACTGCTTTCACCAACCTTGGCTAGCAATGTCCTAATGTGAATACAGTATCTATACTAGTACAAGAACAACATTAAAACCTATACAACCTACACTGAATAGTGTTTGACAAATGTTATGAAACATATAAATGACAATTCAAAATTTCTAAATGCAATGTTATTTAGGTTTTGAGGTGTCAAGAATGAGGTGTAATTATAAAGTAAAATTGATATTTTTCATAATTCTTGTATATCTTTTTTCAGAACCCACACTACCAGTCTAAACTCTACAGTTACAGCTCTATCATGCAGCTAATCATAAAATAAAGTAATTTAGTCATTTACTCATTTTCATCCTACATGAAACTGCCATAGTAATAGTAGTAAAAATGCAATTTGGCAGTTGGACTACAGTATCTGATTGGTATATTTCTTAAACATGGCAGATATATATTTTTTTTTTAATCCTCACCCTTTGGCACTAGGTAAAAGATTACAATGAATAAAACATGCATGTAAATACCATCCCAGCATCAATGGGTGAATACATGTATTAATGATCTGGATAATTATAATATTCACTGGATTCAGTGCTGCTCATATTTTTTCTAATCGTTATTAATGATTCCAGTCATTTGTTGATGCAGTCGAAAGTGGATCATAGTTTAAATGGGTAACCAGAATGGTACCTATTAAAGAGAAAAAATCCACTTGTGATATATCCGCTACTTATGTGGAAATGGAATGAAACATTTGCAATAAAAGACTTACCTTCTTCCTTTAATTTATTTAGGTCACCAACTGTTAAATGAGAATATATGCAGGCATCCCCAAAAGAACATTCTTGGCCTGAATAGAAACGACGGCACTTCTCTTTCCCTAATTCCTCTTGGAGCTTCTCTCTTGCAGCTATCAACAAAGTTAAAAAATCTAAATTTAATTTTCCAATATATTGAAATCTATTTTTATTTAATCATCAAAATACACCTAAATAACAGAAATGTTTCAGCTGGAATATAAACCATTTTTACAGGAAAATACAAGGGGGGGGGGGATGTAAAAAGGTAACTAGAGAACTATGCATATAGCTTATCAATAACCTCCAATATCACCTGCTTCAACATACAGAAGTGAACTGAATAGAGACTACTAAAAATACCAGTACACGCCTAATATTGTCTTGGCTATCATGATAATAAAAATGTATCTTAATACTCACTTTTAAACTGGTTATAATGGAGAGTCCTTAACTTCTGATGTTGGTATCCATTGATGTGTTTCTTACGTGCCTCTACACTATAGGGGAATGATCGGTCACAGTAATCACAATAATACCTCTTTACCATGTTTATGCTCTCACTTCTATTTCCTTACAACTTTCATTCCTTCCTGCAACAACAACAAAAACAAATATTCTTGAACTAAATCAGTATCTTAAAGTTATAGATGAAAAAAAATTAGTCATATTTAATAAAAACCCTTGGAATCAGGTGACTAGCAGCCCACATATAGACCAAAATCCGAGTATTATGCTTTCTTGAGTGGTGACTTAACCCCCTGGATCCAGATGACGTTGCGATCACGTCAAGGAAAAACTTGGGCAGCTATACAAATGACGTGAATAAAGTGTCAAGAGCAAAGGCCAGGGTGATGGAAAAGACTCACCACAAGTGCACAAACCTCTTGGAGTGGGATTTGACTCATTTTGCGCTTAGGAGGAGGCTTCAGCATTATTCCTATTGATAAACGAATGTGGAATGTAATGTGCGTAAGCAGTGACTGAAAGACCGCCGGCTCCAGGCAGGATGCCATTTCCATACTGTGCACCGTATTCCTGGCTGCTGTAACCGGCAGCGCAGATTGTATTACGTAAAAGAAAAGAGATGACAAATGACCAAAATGTTCCTTTTTCTTTTTTCTTCTTGCACTGAGCTATTTACTAGACATGATATGGAGTCTGTGCAAAGAACATAAGTAATTACCATCTGGATAAAGCAAATCAAAAGACAAATATGGATATTGGAAAATGGCGATAAAGCTAAAAAAGTTTCCCCAAAATAACTCTTAAAAGGAGAAGCACACAGTCTTGTCACCACTCATGGGTGTTCGTGCACACCCGGCCTGCGTGCCACATGCCCGGGGTGCTGGCCACTTACGTAACCATTGCAACCAGAACCAGGGGGTTGTGTGTGTGGCTTGTAGCCCCAGCCTGAATAAACACTCAATGTGCAGAATCAAGACTCCTTGCCTCCTCTTTGCAATTCTTTTTTTTCCTTTTACAAGGTATATACTTGTCATTTGTTATGCTGTATCAAGACACTAATAGACTGTTTTCTCTGAACAGACTCCACAAGACCTCTCTAGACAGTCTACAACTCTGTGCAATGACAATAAGTAATAGTGTGTTTCATGTCCTTTTTGTAATATTTATGTATTATCAAATTTTCTGGATCACCCTGTACTACCAGTCACAGCAGGCAGGAACAGATCCTGAGCAAGGATAAAGTATCCTTCCTAGAGCCTGGATTCTCTCAGAAGGTACATTCCACCCTTATTTACTGGTGAAAATAATACGAGAGCACCTTCCTATATGCTCAGACTATTTTCTTCCAAGTTCCTTTGTACAGTCACAACAAGTCATACACATCACCTGGCCTTTATCTATTTTTTTTCATTATGGCACATTACCATCACCCAGCCCTCATCCAAATTTTTTTTGTGATATGAATTTCATGTTACAAAGACCTAATGGGTTACTTAACAAGATGGGAAGGCCTAAAAAAATAATGGAAGAATTATTCAACTGAAAACCTTTATGAGTCCTATTTAGGTATATTGTATAAATTACTTACTTTCATACTGCATAATAACACTCAAAGAGTGCTGTTAGTGGGTCTTTGGATTATTTGCAGCAATATAATGATAAAGAACCACCATTAGGAAGAGGGACACTCCTAGGATGTTGACAAACACAGCAAGTTGTACGTCAGAAATCATTCTGAAAGGTAAAAGATATAAATTATTAAGAAATGAATCCAATTTCAATGAAATGGGAAGACTACAATCTCCAATCCACATTATGCTGTTGTTATTCATCACACTTGACTCGTTGATGATTGACATAACTTATATTGTGGTAAAGTCTTACGACATCAGTTTCATACTGCATTTTGCAAAGAAATAGAATTATTTGCACATCAAAACAAAACAAACAAATACTTTTAAATATGTTTGTTGACTATGGGGACGTGAGCTACATTTCCCCTATACAATTACAGTCTACAAATCTACATTTAAACCTGGGATTATGTTTTACCTGATTTGCACACAATACAAATGCAAGTATAGGTTTCTTATAGCGATGTGTTGATACAGAAGAAAAGGACACCGCTATCTTATACAGTGTAAGAAATAGCTGCAGCAGCCTAATATTCACCACTAAATGATGGAAATATCCCTTGCATAGCACCGCTCAGAGTCTAAGAAGCTCATTTTGTTGACCAGGCCAGGAAAAACAACACGGACCACATGACACATTACTGCAATATCTCAAGTAGTTGTGCTTGTCAAATTTATAATTTGCTAATTATCAGTGTCTGCTGTTACACATACTTTTAAAGTCTTATTCATGTTATTATATTTAATTTACAGGTTTTAAGATTTATCTATACAGTTCTTTAGAGTGATCTGTTCGTCCTGTGTTCCGTCGCCACTAACGAGTTTGACAGTTCACTGGCCATTTCGTGTCCAAAGGCTAGTGAGAAATATTGCAGTTCCAATGTTGCATTAATTCTGAGTTATTCTTAAGACTATATATTGGCAAAAAAGAAGAAATGGTCTTTAGCAATTATCCCAGTTTGATATCTGAGCCCATCAAGAGACCCAATGCTGAAAAAAGTCATTATAAACTAAGCAATCCAGACAATGTTTGGCTAGGTGGCCCAACGCCAACATTTCTGACATTGAAGAGGAAGGGGTTGATATTGTTGAACATAAGACAATCCACCAATATGAACCTTATGGGGAGGTCTTGTCTATGGAAGCTAATCTTGGCAATATTGATGTGGGATTTTCGTTGCTCTCTGGGTGGAAGAGTGTAACATTGTCCTGCCACTGCATCATATTCACCTAGGCAGGAAAGTAGGTCATTTTCAGTCTGATCAATCCTTGGTATACATGGGACAAGCATTTGGGGGAATTGAAACAGTTCCAGTATTCAGTTGGGCGAGGTTCGTCAGGAATGGGTTTGCCAGTAAGGTCAGTTAGGGTAGATAGTGTACAAGCTTGGGCTTCAGATGTAACTGTCACGAGGCGTGAATGATCAGAGCGACTGCAAAAGGTAACCTTGCCTACTTGTTTCTGGAGGCACTGCTGAAAGAGAAGGGTATTCTCAGAAAAGGGGGCTGTGGGGGGAATCACAAAGAATCGATCCCACTTGGCTGGGCCAAATAGAGTACTCAGAAGGTTTGCAGAGGTAGAGGCAGTAAAAGGATGAGGGCAAGAGGAAGATGGGGTGGTGTGAAGTGTAGCATTTCTGGGAGGGGGGGGGACAATAAGGATGAAGAGTAGTAATATGGGAAGAGGGGGTTGACATTGAAGAGGGCTGAGCAGCAGCAGTAGAGGAGAATGTTGGGGATAAGGAGGAGTGTTTTCTAGAGGTTGAGTAATAACCTAGGTGGTTGTTTCAGAATGGTTGTTCGTAAGTATCAAAGAGGGGGTATTAGCATCAGTGGTTGGAGCCGTGGTCAAAGGAGGGGCAGGGGTCTGAAAACCATCAAAATCAAATTCAGATAGGCTATTTGATGAAGGGGCAAGCCTTAATGCCTCTATTAACCCATTTATGACAAGTGTCCCACATATGAGACACCCAGAAAAATAAAAATTTCCGGGCGTCCCACCGGTATGACACTGGATCGGAGCTTGTGCCCCAATTCCATTGCGAGCCGTGGCCGGCATGTGGGCAGATTCCAGGCCAGCCCCACACACCAATATTGAAGCTACCCGGAAACTTATTTTTTGGCTTCAAAATATACTGGCACTAGTGGGTTAAGAGTAAAGAATCTTAATTATTGGCCATGGTGAGCCTAAATAAACTGGGGAAAAGAAATGGTCTACCCTTCAGGGTCCCCATAAGGAGTAAGGGCTTGGTAATTAGCCAAGGGAATACTGTGCCCATGGCTCCCAGAGGCTGTTCATGACTGACATAAAGCCAGCCTTTCATCCTTTCAGCATGACTCTCATACTTTAGGAATGGGATAGAAGAAGGGAATAAGGAAGATACAGAAGAGGAAAGAAGAGAAGAAAGGACCAAGCCAAATTAGTTGAGACAAGGGCTGAGGCCCAAGGTAGGGGTAATCTTTTACATTGAGCTAGGTTTTGGGAGGGTTGTGCTGGTATTATGCATTTTTCTCAGTTCTTATTTAAGCCTGTTTTACCCTGTAATTCCCCTGCTATCAGGACTATGAAAGCAAGAACAATGATGGAGAAATGGTACTCAATCTCCTCAAAGACTCATTTGCAGAAGAAACAACAAGAATCAATGAAATCATTTGATATCCTGCAGAAAAACTTTTTTCCTACAGTGCAAAGTATGCTTTAAGAAAAAAGAAAGAAAAAAATACAAAATGGTGCACAGCATGCTATAAATAACTGTTCAGTTAGTGAAGCTTTATTTATTCAAGCAGCATAAGTAATGTTATTGTGACCAACAATACTCACAGAATTCAATTAAATGTTTTTGTAATACATGAATTGTCACTTTTCAATGTTTTCAAGTTGGAGTTTGCAAATAACAATGTTTATTAAATCACTGGGTCCTTTAATAAATGGTTACTGATAAGTGAAAGGATCTCGGGGGGAATAAGTCTGTTTCATGAAATACATGTTAAATATAATAGATATTTTGAAACCTAAGAGATGTCTAAAATAGATTCTTAAATATGATTACCAAAAACATGACATTACAAAAAGAAAGAAAGGAAAAAAAAAAAAAAAAAAAACTGAAATCTCCCAAAAGAATGAATTTCGTGTGCGACATTTCTCTTCTCTCCGACATGTTTACATGATAACGGTGCTGATAGAGTAGCGAGTACAACATTTTTTCCTGTACATTATTGTCGCGCCGTCTGGCAGCGGAGAGTGTTGTCTTCAGTACGGACACGGTGGATTAGGATTAATCTAAATACGGTATTAAGAGTTAAGGACACTACAGAAGACACCCATAGATTTTGTAATGTTGATATATTCCAGAAAATTACCTAGAAATTTCACTCGACCCTTCAAACTTTACCAGAGACAAGTTTACTTGTGCGCTAAACATGTGTTCCCATACATAACATTGAACTGAGGTGCCGGCAAAGTTTGGGAAAAAGTACGAGAGAGCGACACGCGTAGATAGAGGGAAATAGACACCACCATCCTATAGAGCGGAAGAAATAGGTAATTTTTCATCATACGTCCGCTAGAGTAGGATTCCACATAGTTTAAGCTTCAGCGGCCTCAAAGTCGCCGCGTAGATCTGTCAGGGACTATCTAGTACCTTCTCGCCAGTGACAAACAGAATCAAGATGTCAACAATTTAGCTATTAGTTTATCGAGTAATTAATACATTTCCCTATTCGCACAACACATCAGATAAGACAGAGAATATCTACTTGCTTGGAACCGGAGAAGAGAAACGTCAGACTCTGCGACGAGGGGACTGCTATTCGACTCTTGACACGTCTGAGTCCTCGGTGCCTGACGGAAGAATAGTAACGTCGAATTTTCGTGTTTTTTTTTTTTTCATTTAACAAAAGCTTATTAATTAAGATAGTTTTTAAAGATCATAAAATAAAAGACTGAATATAGAATATATTGAAATCATTTTGCCTTCTGCATGTAAACTTGGAAATTATGTGATTTCTGTTATATAATCTATACTAATAAATCTTATTCAGAAAGACGTAATTCTTTACTAGTATCCCGATATTCACTATACTGCCTTAGCTTTATATATTTTTACAATATATTTGGGCAAAGTTACTATTTTTCGTAGAATTTCAGGGTTGTCAACAAATGGTGTACGATAATTACCCAAAGTTGCTGCCTATCATTAAATTGACATATCCTCATATTCTTCACAACCTTTCGGAAGTTGTAGCCAGATAAACATACAAAAAGTCCAACCAGAAGTGTAGCAGGCAACAGAGTACAAGTTCTTCAGTCATACAGTTCCTAGTATCACGATATAGCGACCGCTACGGGAGAAGCTCCGTCGCTGAGCGCACACGCAACACCTCGGGCCTCAGTTGATGCAACACCTTCAACGTGTAAACAGTATCCCTCTCGCTACCGGTATTCTGCAACGCCTTGCAAGATCAGCTCCCCGTGACTAGTTAAGACGATGGGGGAAGAAAATAAGGATGAACAAATTAGCAACACATCAACAAAGGTGTACACCTTAGCGGAGATTGCGGAGCATAAAACAACAGATTCGTGTTGGATTGTAGTTCACGACAAAGTCTATGATGTAACCAAATTTTTAGATGAGGTGAGTGATTTTTTTTTCATTTTTAATTGGTATTCAGGGTGATCTAGGCAGGCCGGAGCGAGACGTAAGGGCCAAAATGAATCCTGGCCGTCTGCACAGATCAGCTGAATCATCATGACATTTTTTCCTCTTAAAGAAAAAAAAAATGTGTTGGAAGTAATGTTTAAATATTTTTTGTCTGTGCTCAGAATTTATTCGATTATCATTTTGCAGTGCTAGATAACTTTTGTTTTTTACAGTGTATGGCCATCAAAGCTTTTCGGAAATGGTCTATTCTTGCAAGTGCCAGTGGTCTAACTTTTGTGGGCATTAGATTTCCAGAGTGGCTAAACATCTCCCACCTTTAGAGGAATCAAGTTCTACATGTGGATAAAGAAGTATTTGTGAATGATTGTGTACACAGGCAAACATTTTATTATGAACCTTTCATATGAAGATCTTGGACCTACACAACCAAAAAGGTGAACACAGTGTTCAAGAGAGCCGTAGTATGCAGCTAGAGTACGTCCAGCCTCTTAAGGACTGAGGAAAAATAGCAACTCATCCTGGACTCCAGAGTACTAAATCTGCCAAATCTTATTTATTTGAATTATTGACTTGTAATTTTTATGTGTTATGTACTTGCAAAACTCCTGCTCCTTATGGTTTTATTGAAACTAGTGCAACACTTTATTTTCTCTCGGGGAATTAGAGTACTCCAGAGTCCAGGGTGAGTTCAGTTTTTTCTTTCCTAAGAGTGGAGATAGCATACGGCCGGCTCAAACTACTGACTGTATTCAGTTAGACACCCAGACTATTTTCTGTTGGCTGCTCCAACGACACAACATATATGTGAATAGGATAGGATATTAGATTGTCATAACACAGATAACTTCTTGATGTAGGTATACATCAACTTGAGCTTAGACCTCATTTTCATGTAAGGCTTCTTATAGTAATTTCGCAGTAGTTTGTCGCTATTGTTATTTTCCTGTTGGTGAAATTTTGGTTAGAAAATTGTTTTCATAGCAGATGGCACCAAGTATGTTCCTGCAAATGGCAAGAAATATATTTTGAGAGCATTATCAGTTTCAGTAGTTTCAACAGCCTGTTAATAAGAATTACTGAGCAGATCTGCTCCATCATATTGTTTAGAAAGGTATGAATGAGAACGAATAGCTTTACAATACAAGAGATGTATTTTACCGGTTTTGAATATATCTTCTTCAGAAATACATGTATTTCTTAACCAATACTGGGGATCACCTCTGTCTTGGGCCTCAGCCCTCAACTTGACTAAATTTGTATGGTCTTTTCCTCTTCACATTTTTGTTTCCTTCTCCCTTTTTAGTTGTCTACCCCATAACCCTCAAGGGGACCCAAAGGGGTGGACTATTTCTCTCCCCAACATATTATAGGCTTATCATGGCCAGTAATGAAGAATTTGTACTATTAATAGAGGCATTGAGGCTTGGCCCATTATCATATAGCTCCACTGATTTCAATACTCCCTGTTCTCCAACCTCAGGCTCTCTGAACTACTACTATCACAGCACCTTACTCAGGCAACACCCCTCTTCTAGCAATGCCTCTAAAAATAAGTAGGCAAATCTCCTTCCACAGCTGCCCCAATCATTCCTGCCTTGTCTTGGTTACATCTGAATCTCAAGCTAAAGCATTATCAACCTTAACTGATTTTACTAGCAAACCCATTCCTGCCCAAACCACATACCTTCCGCACCAGAACTATCTCATTCTCCATGATAAACTGCCCAATGATTGGTCAGATTGTGGAGAAGACATAATTGCCTGTTTCATGGACTATGATGCAGTATCAGTACAATGCTACACCATTCCCACTAGAGGCTATGGTAAGTTCCACTCCAGTATTGCCAGGATTACTTTCTGTAGACATGAACTCCTCTTTCATGTTTACACTGACACTCCATGTTCTACCATATCAACCTCCCCCTGCCAACATCAGAATTGTTGGCCTAGGTCATCGTGCCAAACACTGCCATTCCACAGTCGATGCTCTCAATATGCCCAACCTGGTCATAATCAGTCAAACTGATCTGCACAGTCACACGTGTGTTAATTGCACTAGTTCCCAGAATGCATTTTATAGGGGCTGGCCTATCAACGAGTTCGAGTCTGAAGTGGAAATTCTCAGCTTCAAAATTAGCCTCACTTTATGCAAAGCCAGGCAGGAAGCACGTTGACAGGGTTTTTCTCTCATTCCCTACTCTGAGAATGCCCTTTGCTTTCCTCCTCCTATATCTCTTCCTCATCCCACTTCTACATCCTTCTTGTGGAAGTACAAATTTGTAGTGTAACAATTTGTAAACTATTGGCACCATGTCCAGCATCATAAACCTCATAAAACCTCTCAACAGCACATTGCTCAAAAGTTTGCACTTTGTTAAATTAGCCACACAAATGCAGATCAATCCAAAATATTATTCAGTTTTACCTTTTGGCTTTAGTCTTTTTTGGCAAAACCAATTCTATTTCATTGAAAGATAAGCAGATTTTATTACTTCAGATTATCTTGGCATAATAAAGAAACACTGATGTTTCATTATAATTCCCTTTTCTATATTTGTAACAATTAACTTTGGATTTCCATTATACCTCATTTGGTTTTGACTGGGAATGTATATTTCATCTCTTATATATCAGTGTAATGGAAGTCAGGATAGGCCCTTCCATTTTTGCTTTTCTTTCAACACTTGCTTAAATTCAGAGGTCTAAGGATGAAGAGAGTCATTATCTTGTTTAATTGCTTATGGCTTATGGTCATTATTTATTTTGTTTCTATTGAATGTACTGCATTGTATAAATTTCTTTTACCATTATCATAGCTACTGTTCAAAGTCATTGTCTATTGAATGTACTGCATTGTATAAATTTCTTTAACCATTATTGTAGCTACAGTTCAAAGTCATTGTGGAGCAACTCTGGGGAATATCAAGGTTACAGACCTTGACTTTGCCAATGATGTTGCTATTCTATCTGAGTCTTTGGAATCCCTAGTAGTGGCTCTTGAGGCATTTAGTAATGAAGTGAAACCCTTGGGTCTAGAGGTCTCCTGGACCAAGACTAAGATCCAGGACTTTGGGGACATGCTAGGAGAACCTGTTCAGTCGGTACGTGCTTGCGGTGAGGACATTGAAGTCACAAAGAGCTTTACATACGTTGATAATGTAGTTCATAACTCTGGGCTGTCAGACCAGGAAGTCAGCAGATGGATTGGCCTGGCAGCAGGCGTCATGAACTCTCTCGACAAGAGTATTTTGAGATGCCGGTACCTGTACAGAAGGACTAAGCTACGGGTTTTCAAGGCCCTAATAAAGCCAGTTTTGCTATACGGTAGTGAAACCTGGACATTATCGTGTGCCTTGGAGACTTGTCTTGATGCCTTCTGTAATAGGTCCTTGCGCCAGATCATGGAGTACAGCTGGCGGGACCACATATCCAACCAACAGTTGCACCATGGAGACCTGTTACCTGCACAATCCGGGATCGCCAATTCAGGCTATATGGCCACCTGGCTCCCTTCCCACAGGATGATCCTGCCCACCAGGTTGTCTCTTTACGAGACAACCCTGGGTGGAGGAGGCTTGTGGGACAACCTAGGAGGTCATGGCTTGGGTAGATCGATCAAACCTGTCATGAGGAACTCGAGATGGGCCGAGTCCCTGCCTGTCGGTTTGCCATGAGGGACCCCAAAAGGTGGAAGCAAAGGGTGGATGCGGCAATGCACCCCCCGTTGGCGTTAGCCCCCAGGTGATGATGATGATTATCATAGCCTGATATGTAATACCAGAAAACTGATTTTCTTCTTTTCCTGTCATATCCTTATTTCTATGAGTGACACAGGATCTTTGTCATTTTCCTGTCAAAACTG